GGAAACAGCTTTCGGGAACAAGAGCTGACTACCCAGTCTACCAGGAAATAGAAGTTAAAAAATATCTAGAAAGAAGTAAAACTTAGAAAGATAGAGAAAAATAATTCTGCTATGCACTTTCCATCAGGTGTATTGAGATTTACTTATAAGTTTTACTGCCATGTATGCTCACTGGTCACTAATCACACGCCAATATTATAGGTATAAGTGATATCCTATGTCAGAGGCGATCTTCCAGATGGGCCTTTACAGGCCTCAGCCATGTAGCTATAGATGTTGGCTCCCAACAAGCCACCATGCCTGGCCTTATTCTTTGTTCATATATTCTAGCTTTTTTTTTCCCCAGAGACGGATCTTGCCAAAGTACAGTGGTATAATTTTAGCTCACTGCTGCCTTGAACTAGACTCAAGGGATCCTCCTGCCTCAGCCTCCCAAGTAGCTGAGACTATAGGCATGTGGCACCATGCTTGGCTAATTTTTTTTTTTTTTTTGTAGAGATGGTGTTTTGCTTTGTTGCCCAGGCACATCTCAAACTCCTGGAGTCAAACGATCCTCCTGCCTTGGCCTCCCAAAGTGTTGGGATTACAGCTGTGAGCCGCCATGTCCAGCCTTTCTAGAAACCTATTAAACATTTTGTGTTCTGTATCTGGAAATTTCACCCTTTGAAGGCTTTGAAAGTCTGTTTCTGCCTTTTGTTGTTTCTACTTGTTTTCAGGTATTATTTTAATATTTTCTATGTTTTGTGGGATTTTATTGTTTTGGGGTTTGTTTTTTGCTATGAGCTTATGTTTTCCTTGGAAATTTATCTGTGGGAATTCTTTGTTTTTTTTTTTTCTTTTTTGAGTTGAAGTCTCACTCCGTCTCCCAGGCTGGAGTGCAGTGGCACACTCATGGCCACCCCAGTGTCAACCTGCTGGACTCAGGCGATCCTTCCACCTCAGCCTTCTGAGTAGTTGGAACTACAGGTGCATGCTACCACGCCCAGCTAATTTTTTGATTTATTGTAGAGACACGGTCTCGCCACGTTGCCCGGGCTGGTCTCAAATCCGGGGCTCAAGCAGTCCACTTGCCTTGGCCTCCCAAAATGCTGGGATTACAGGCCAAGCCCTGCTGGGAATTCTGTGAATCCTGATAGAAGTTACATTTCTTCAGAAAAGAATTTGTCTTTGTTTCTGCCATTTTTCCTGGGAACCTACATTTTCGGCCTGAGGGTTTTTGGACTGCGTAGATAACCTATATGTGGTCTACAGATCTGTGTGAAGGCTGGCTTACGATGATCAATTCTTGGGATAAATTGTCTCCCCTTCACCCTCTGCCTCTTTCCTTGCTGTCCCTTTTTGTGTGGCAGACATATCTCCATTTTAGCCTTACTCTGAAGATACAGTTCCTTGGCTCCCAGCTTTGAATGTGGACCTCTTGCTAGGTTGCCTACTTTGGGTGGGTCTGGCCCTCCTCTGTCGTCTTGGTGTTTCTTGTAGCCATCAAAATGGAATGAGGCTTGTTAGATAGTTTCAGGGGAGACTATGGCTTCATTGTGTGTTTACTTCCGAGGGTTGAGGTGGTGTGTTTTTTTTGTTGTTGTTTGTTTTTTGAGATAGGATCGCATTATTTTGCCCAGCCTGGTCTTGAACTTATGGGTTCAGATGATCCTCCCACCTCAGTTTCCCAAGTAGCTGGCACCAGCAGATTGCAGCTCTTACTTAGGTTTTGTTCTTTGAGGAATCTGTACTTTGTTCCCAGCACAACCATTAACACAGCAGTATCTAGTCAGTGTCACATAATGCTAGTTTGGTCTACTGCATGTCTGATGGTGGTCCTGTGAGGTTAGACTGGAACTAGAGGTATGTGGCAGGCTACACCATCGAGGTTTGTACAAATACCACCCTGTGATGTTGGCACAGCATGAGTTGCCTAATGCTCGACTTCTCAGATTGTGTCCCTGTCGCTAAGCAAGGCATGACTATGTTACAGTTTTTGTTTTTTGTTTTTTTTAAGTTGGAGTCTCACTCTGTTGCCCAGATTGGAGTGTAGCGGCCGCTCCCGGCCACCGCAGCCTCGACCTGCTGGGCTCCGGCGATCCTTCCGCCTCAGCCTTCCAAGTAGCCGGAATTACAGGCATGCGCTACCACGCCCGGCTGATTTTTTGATTTATTGTAGAGATGAGGTCTCGCCTGCCCAGGAGGGTCTTGAACCCGCGGGCTCAGGCAATTCACTCACCTCAGCCTCCCAAAGGTGCGGGATTACAGACTGAGCCACCGAGCCAGGCTGTTACAGTTTTTAAAAATCCAGTTTCTTAGGTGATTTTATTGAGAAGGTACTCAGTCATGTTGCTGGAATCTAAAGCTTAAGGTAATTCTTTTTTATTTCTATTTTTTTGAGTTGGGATTATGTTTTGCTACCCAGACTGGAGTGCAGTGGTGCCATCACAACTCACTGCAGCCTCAAACTTCTGGGCTGGAACGATCCTCCTGGCTCAGCCTTTTGAGCAGATGGGTCTACATGTGCACACCACCACACCTGGCTAATTAATTTTTTGTAAGAGATGTGGTCTCACTGTGTTGCGTACACTGGTCTTGAACTCCTGGGCTCAAGCCATTCTCCCCCCTATGCCTCCGAAAGTGCTGGGATTATGGGTATAAGCCACCATTCCCGGCCTAAGCTCCTTAAAAAAAGTCAGGATCTGTTCTCTTATTTTCTTTATCCACCATTTGACCCCCAAACAAGTAAGATATGCAGAGAAAGCACAAAATACAAGATCAAAGTCAGTGATACTGATAATACATACATACAGACCGATAGCATATAGATAGGAAGGCAGATGGAGGGAAGATGGTCCACACAACCAGCTTTGGATGTTTACGTGACTTCTTTGTGTGTTATTAGGACAGTTTAAAGTTGACAGTTTTTCCTTGACCTGTATGAGCTGCCACAACATAACAAGTCTTCTTAAATGCAGACGTGGACTATCTGTGATGTTTGAGAGAGGATTTTTAAAAACCTTGGCCAACCGTCACATTTCTTGATTTCTACATCCAGAACCTCTTGGGAAGATAACTGTCATTGGCAACCAAGCAAAATTGTGTCACTTGCAAACTGTGCCAAGGTTAGGGAAAGTCATTATATTTCTGAGTAATGGCTAGACACTCAGGAATATTGGGCAGACACAAGGAAAAGAGAGTTGAAACAAAAGAAGTCCTTGCTAGGGGCACTGACTGTCATCAGCCTGGGTTGTCCTTTGTGTGGCTGTATGGATGAAATCTACCGAGGGGTTTTCACAGTGAGAAGTGCATATTAGGAGACCTGTGTGCCTCAGGAGGGAAGGCAGGTACATCTGGACTTATTCTCTTTATTTGAGGCCAGGGTATCTCTTTAATGAATGGGCTGAAGAAAAGCGTATCTTTCTTTTTCAGACCCATTTTAATTTCAGTTCACAGTAAGACCAAGGGACACCTGTCCCCTTAGTTACAGGCATTGCTGCTGGGCTGTGGTGATCCCGTGGACTGGGTTTTGTGGCATCACCTCTGCACCTTTATCCTCCCCTTGCCAATTCCCCTTCTTCCTTTTTCTTCACAGCCTTGATTCAGATGTTGGCTTTGCCACTTAACAGCTGAGGTCACTAGTCGCTAGCTATCTGAGCTCAGTTTTCTAATGAGTTAAGGGAAATAATGTCAGTCTCAGAGTTATCAAAGTCATCGTGAGGATTAAATAACACAACATGTACAATACCATTGCTAGCCGAAGCAGGCAGTCAGTAAAATCTTCTCTTTCAACTTGAATGGTGGAAAAATTGTTGTTTGTCTTTGAACACTGGAAATGCATCTTCCATTTACTCATATGCTTTCATTCTTGTGGGCTGTGTTGCGAAGTGCTGGCTAATGCAGCACTGGAAATGTGTGAGGGGTAGTTTGTCAGGGATATTGTCGAAGAGAATTCTGTTTGGGGGCTTCGGTTAGATGAGGTGACCTGTTAGACCCCCTTGTAACTTGGTGTGTGTCAGCTAGCTCCTTTATTATATATGATTAATGTTGAATCACTTTATTTCAGATGCTGTGTTAGTAAGTTATTATCCTCCCATCTTTTCATCTCAGATATTTAGAGAAATAAATTAGACTCTGACTGCCAGGCCAGTGTTCATTCATTCTTTATTTGATGTTCGTATTCTCTTCGATATATATGGATGTATAGTTGCTTCCTGTTTTCTTTTGAGGAAGAACTTTTGCATTCTTTATGCAGGAAACTGCAAGCTAGATCTCCTTTTCATTGGATTTTCTGTTAACTCTTTTTTCTTCTCCTTTTTTTTTAAGGGTCTCAATGAAGTACAACTCTCCTTTTCACTCTTTTTTTTTTTTCCTTGAATTGGAGTCTCACTCTGTCACCCAGACTGGAGTGCAGTGGCTGCTCCCAGCCACTGCAGCCTCGACCTGCTGGGCTCCAGTCTTTCTTCCGCCTCAGCCTTCCAAGTAGCTGGAACTATAGGCACACGCTACCACACCTGGCTAATTTTTTGATTTGTTGTAGAGATGAGGTCTCGCCAAGTTGCCTAGGCGGGTCTCGAACCCACGGGCTCAGGCAATCCACTCACCTCAGCCTCCCAAAGGCGCGGGATTACAGGCTGAGCCACCAAGCCCGGTTTACATTTCATTCTTATAGATTTGTTTGCTGCTTTGTGTCAACACCTTATATTGCCGTATGTTTTTATAGCACGATTACGACCATTTCTGTAAGAAAAGCAGCGGGGTCATGGGGTGTATTTCCTAGGGTTGTGTGGATAAAGAAGAAAATGGAGCAGGGTGTCTTCAGCATCCTGTTTGGAGTATCCAGGTGCTCAGGGAATGCTCCTTGGTTACTCTCTTTGCATTTACATTCCTCACTTCCTATGTTTAGAATGGTTTAAGAGCAGAGACGATGTAATATACTTTACATGTTATGGACTCAATATTTTACTCATAAATATATTTTTATTTTCATAATTTTTAATGTTTCTTCTTTTGTCTTGCAGTGTTGAAACTAGAGAGTCTGTTTGCTGGTGATTCAGGTCGATATTTGGCTATTCAATTCCATCTGGAATGTGCACATATGTTTTTGTATTATTATGAGTATAAAAAGGCAGAAGATCAGTTCAGTATTGCTAAGGACATTAGCAAATTACAAATTGATTTGACAGGTAAGACTTTTTCCCTTTTGTGAATAATTTTTTGTGAATAATTTAATTTTATGATAAAACGAACACACTGGCAGTTTATATTGTATGCTAGTAATTTCTTTCTTTCTTTTTTTTTTTTTTGAGTTGGAGTCTCACTCTGTCGTTCAGACTGGAGTGCAGTAGCACTCTCCCGGCCACCACAGCCTCGACCTGCTGGGCTCCGGCAATCCTTCCGCCTCTGCCTTCCAAGTAGCTGGAACTACAGGCATGCATTACCACACCCGGCTAATTTTTTGATTTATTGTAGAGATGAGGTCTTGCCAAGTTGCCCAGGCGGGTGTCGAACCCGCGGGCTCAGGCAATCCACTCACCTCAGCCTCCCAAAGCGCGGGATTACAGGCTGAGCCACTGAGCCCAGCTAATTTTTTTCTATATCCTATTCTTTGTTTTACAAAAGTAGATTTTAAAAAATCTTATTTAAAAATGTATAGTTTTAGAGCAAATTTGATATTATCTATTTTCTTTATTCCTAGAGATTCTTATTTATTGTTCTAATCTAGTTAGACATATGTTACAATACGTAGCAGCCAGACAGTACACAAATAAATTTCTACCCATTCAAGCTGTGGGCCTTCGAAGACTTCTTTTTACTCCCACGTTTAGTTTGGCCTCTCTGCATTACCCTTTTTTGTAATTAAATACTCACCTATTATTTCCATCTTGCATACAATATAAACTGCCAGTGTGTTCGTTTTAGAGACACACACACACACACACACACACACACACACACACACACGGAATTATCTTTTGGAGGGCAGGCCTGTTGTGGTACAGGCTTCTCCCACTAGGTGCATGTTCTTGGAACCCACTGGCATCAGTGCACCCTCTAGCATTGTTGTTAGAGGCTGCATTCAGCCTCAGTGAATTTTTTTGGGAGATTTTTTTCAATATGTTCACCCATTTCACAATGGGTGATTTACATGAACATGCCCACCTAAATTACTGTTTTTTTTTTGTCCCCCTAATGTGTATATGAGTGTATAAATTTTTTTTTGAGTTGGAGTTTCATTCTGTTACACAGACTGGAGTGTAGTGGCATGATCACAGCTCTCCATAGCCTTGATCTCCTTGGTTCAAGTGATCCTCCCGTCTCAGCCCTCCTGATTAACTGGGACTTCAGGCATGCACCACCTTGCTTACCGAATTTTTTTTTTGCTTTTTGCTAGAGATGAGGTTTTACTATATGGCTCAGGCTGGTCTCGAACTCCTGAACTCAAGCAGTCTTCCACCTTGGCTTCCTGGGAGTGCTGGGATTATAGGCATGAGGTGCCACACTCAGCCTTGTATTCCATTTTGTGTTCTTTGTGAACAGAAGTTTTTCTTTGCTTGATGTTTCTTCAATGCCTGAGAACATTGTCTGACATATTGTAGGCACTCAGTAAATATTTAATGAATGAATGAATCCCAGAATTTCTCCTAAAGCCTCTGTGTTTATTCTGAATATCAAATAAGAAACATTGTTTTCTTTACTTTTTCTTTTTTTGAATTGGAGTCTTATTGCATCGGCTAGAGTACAGTAACACACTCACGGCCACCCCAGCATCGACCTGCTGGGCTCCAGCGATCCTTCCGCCTCAGCCTTCCAAGTAGCTGGAACTGCAGGTGTGCACTACCATGCCCAGCTAAGTTTTTATTTATTGTAGAGACCAGCCAAGTTGCCCGTGCTGGTCTCGAATCCATGGGCAATCCACTTGCCTCAGCTTCCCAGAGTACTAGGATTCCAGGCTGAGCCACTGAGCATGGCTGCACATTGTTTTCTTTTTATGTATTACTGTATTCCTGATGTCTCACAATACCATTGACATACAATATTGAATACATTAATGAAAGTCACATCATCAGTTGATCATACCATCTATACCCATGAGTCTGCGCTGAGCATTCCAGGATGTGACTGCCTATCTGTGAATGTTGAAGCAATTGGATCTGTTTGTCCTCCTTGGGCTGGGTCTAGATGGTCTCTAAGGCCTAATTTTAGCTCCCAAATTCTATGCTTTTCATTGAGCTAGTTCTATCAGTAAAATCCTTCAGATATTTTATGAGTTAAATAAGGCTTTATAGATTGCTCTGGGATCTTAGCCACCTTTTATTATGTTGGTTGTAGGGGGGAAATTGTTAATATCCAGCTTATAATTTTTGGAACAATGGCCATGTTTAAGTTGGAGTCTTGTTTATATGTGAAAATATAATTAAGTATAATATAACTTGCGAGGTTAGTTTCAGAGATGATATTTTAAAATATTTTGGTCCTAGGAGACTTTTTTGGGACTATTAATGGCACAGGATGCTGTATATTCAGCTTTAGCTGTTGAGATATTTATTATCTAGTTCTTCATATTTTGTCTTCCAACTTAGAGGTAAAGAACTTAAAAATACAAATGTGTTCACAGAGAGTAAATGAAAACCAGGTTATAGTTTTTTTCCATTCAGCTATAGCCTTACCATAATCATTGCCGTGGCTATCTTTAGCATATCATGTTTTGAAGGTTAATCCGTAATGGAGAGTCAGACTCATCACAGGATAAAATCCAGCCTTTGTAGGTTGGTCTTTGTAATCTGACCCTTTCCAGAGGATGGATGCTGGAGCTTCTGCTTCTCTTCAAGTGGTTTGAAAACAGCTATTGTGCAGCAAGTTATTTCAGAGACATAATGAAAAAAGTTTGTTGTTGCATGAAGCCAGATGATGTAATGGACTGTGGGACTTAAACCCTGAGGGTCCTGACATTGAGCTCTGGCTCTGATGCTCAGAAGCCCTGTGGTCTTGAATGAGTGACTCTACCTCAGAACCTGTTTTTCTCATCTGTTATTTAGAGATAATAATAGTTCTTCTACTTATGACACTTAATAAGTCACTCTTTTTTGAGGTAGTTTGATACAAAAACAAATATGTGGAATTTACTGGCAGAAATTCTACATTTGAGGCCTGGCACTATGGCTTATTGGCTTTGTTATTTTATAAGTCATGAAAAACCTGAGCACAGTCTCAGTGAAATGGAGAAAACACCTTGTGAATGCTAAAGCACTCTGAAAATACTGCTCTTCACGGTTGTCCAGTCTGATTGGCAAATCAGTAGATATAATTTAATTGCTTTTTCAGGTGCTTTGGGAAAAAGGACACGATTCCAGGAAAATTATGTGGCACAACTGATCGTGGATGTAAAAAGGGAGGAAGACGTCCTTTCACATTCTGATTTCAGTCCAGCACCCACTGCTCAGAAGCCGTTAATTAAGGTAAGCAGGCATGTGGGTTGTTTAACTCCATTAACGTCTGATCTCACAGTTTCTGAGATGATGCCTCAGGAACACTGAGTGGTGGGCAGAGACCCCATCGTGTCCTTTCTTCAGCCTTTGCCAGATGGCTGCAGGGTAGGATGAACTCTGTGTGTAAGCCTTTTTTTTTTTTTAACACTTAAATAGAGATAAATGGTGTTTTTCTTCTAGAATTCAATATTTATGACTTAATGATGCTGTATTATTAGTTCCTTGAAGAAATGTGAAAGGCAGACTGAGTAGAGACTAATTCTTCCAGCTGTTACCATATTCATTTAGGAACACTACTATACCAATTGTAGTGATTATAAAATATCTCCTGATTAGAAATGTTAAAGTGTGAAAATATATATCTTTGAATTGGGGAAATACAGTAATTTTATTGCCAGGGAGGAACATGATGTTTTCCCTTTGGGCCTTCCTGAATTGGTAATGCATGGGGAATTACATAGAATAAAGCTATTGGATATCAGAGTTCAATAAGCCTGCAGTTATGAGCAACTCGTTGTGCAAGTCAGAGACAGTCTCTGCTGTTTCTTGTTCAGTTGTGGGGAGAAGGGAGAATAAATTAAAAGTGTTTATTCACAGAAAACAGAAGTGCTACATGCTCAGACATCTGACACAAAATATACATTAAATGCTGAATATTATAGTGTGTCCCATGTATCGGTAGTAAATTATGCACTGATTTCTTTGTGCATGTGTGTACTGATTTCTTGATTCAGTAGAATGTTATGAAGGTCAAGTGGGACTAAGGTAGAACAATATTTAATATGGGAACTTGTAGAACAGTTAGTTACTCAAGGAGCTGTTGCAGCAGACCCATTTTAACTTCAGAAAGAGCTGAATAGGAACACAGAGAAGCTAGAAAGATCGAAACCTCTTGGATCGCCTACTTGTATTTGCTAAGTAAATAATTCCCTGTTGGCAGCACTGACACAGCTCAGGGCTCCTGTGGAGGATGAAGGGTCCTGGCTGAGTGGAAGGGACTCTGGTCCTGTCATAGCCATAGCGCCGAGCCTGTTGAGAATCTGGGATCTGACTGTGTTCTTAGTTTCCTCATTTGTGTTTCCCATGTGATATTTTGTAAAAGGATCAGATTAGATACTGACAGGCCCTCTGCAATGTGGTATTAAATGCTGGGTATTCATAAGCAGGTTAATGCTGCCCTGTAAGGATAGGAGAAAGTGCAGGTCTGGGGTGCTCTGAGCTGGTCTGTCCAGCGTGGGAACCGTCAGTCCTGGCAATGGGTTGGGCCGTGAGTGTGAAATACATACCAGGCTTGAAACGATGTTGGAAAGGAATGTCTAATATCTCATTAATAGCTTTTGCTTGATACATGTTACAAGGATATTTGTGATGTATTAGACTAACGTTCTAAATATTTCATAAATGTCTGTGAGAACATTTAGAGTTACATACGACTGTAACCTCAATTTTCACACGATGAAAGGCCAGTGGTGAAAGCGGCCGGCCGACGGGGTGTGCTGTGCCCCTGCCAGCCGGCCTTCCTCAGGGATCTCTGCAGGAAGGAGCTTCGCGGTGGAGGCTGCAGGGTTTGAGGCTCTGTGCCAACAGCTGTTGGGGGCTGCGTTCTCTCTTCTTCAATCCCTGTAAGACAAAAGCTAGGCCTACAGTTAGGGTGGATTTGAGCACGGCTAAAAGAAAACTGGTCCTTTGGCCTGAGTCTTGGGCAGTTTCACTGCTCACCTTGTCCCCATTTCCAAAGCCTGACCTTGTAGCCAGAGGTAATTTCCAGCCTTCTGAAAGGGGGTCCCTGCCTGGCTTCCTTTGGCCCCTAACGTGTCCCTAGTTTTAGTTATACTTTTGTGGAATTAGGAAAAGTTTAAACCAAGTTTATCGAGAATTAGGAAAAGTTTAAACCAAGTTTATCGAGGAATAATTTATATATAAAATCCACCTATTTTAAAATTACAGTTTGTTGTTGTTTTGAGTTGGGATCTTATTCTGTTGCCCAGGCTGGAATATAGTGGCATGATCATGGCTCACCATAGCCTCATACTCCTGGGCTCAAGTGATCCTCCTGCCTCAGCCTCCTGAGTAACTGGCACTGTGGGTGTGTATCGCCACACCCAGCTAGTTTTTAAAATTTTTTGAAGAGACAAGGTCTTGCTATGCTGTCTAGGCTGGCCTTGAACTCCTGGGCACAGGCAGTCCTCTCACCTTGGTCTTCCCAAGTGCTGGGATAACAGCCATGAGCCACCACTCCCTGTCTCAGTTTGTTGAGTTTTAACAAATAGACCCATATAACCATGACCGTAATGAAAATGTGGAACCATTTCCATTACTCCAGAAAGTCCCCTCCTCCTCCTTTGCAGTCAGTCATTTCCCTCACTGATCTCTCTATCACAGGTTCGATCTGTCTTTTCTAGAATTTCAAATTAATGGAATCGCATGGTTTGAACTCTTGTGCCTGGCGTCTTTCACTTGGCCTAATGTTTTTGAGATTCATCCGTGTTGTAACACCATTAGTTAGCTCCTGTTTATTGCTGAGTCATATTTCATTGTGTGGGTAAACCACAATGTGTTTTATCTGCTTGGCTGTTGGTGGATGTTTGAGTTGTTTCTTGCAGCTGTTACTAAAGTTGCTGGGAATGTTTGTGAGTAAGTCTATGTGCAAACATGTTTTACATTTTCTTGGGTAAATACCTGGGAATGGAATGGCTGGGTCATGTGTTAAGTGTATTTTTAACTTTGGAGAAACGACCAGGCTGTTTTCAGAAGTGGTCTTGCTGTTTTACATTTCTACCATCAGCGTATGAGCGTCTAGCTACTCTTCATTCTTGCCAGCACTTGGTGTGGTCAGTCTTTTTTATTTGTGCATTCTAGGGAGTGTCTGTGTTGTAGTGTAGTTGTGGGTTTACTAGTTTTTGGTGATTCCGTCTTTTAAAAATCACTTTTGTTAAGATGTAACTTGTGTACAGAAAAACTGACCTATTTTAGCAACACAGTTTAATGGGATTTGACAAATGCATTCATCTACCTGTTCCAGTCAAAATGACCATTACCCCAGAGAACTCCACCCTGTGCCTTTGCAGTAAACCCCATGCCTCTGGCCCCAAATGGCTCTGGGTGTGCTTTCTGTGACTACAGGTCGTTTGCCTTTTCTAGACTTTTATAGAAATGGAATTATGCATCACGTACTCTTCTGCATCTGGCCTCCTTGTCAGCATGACGTTTTTGAGATTTATCTATGTGATGTCAGTGGTTCCTTTTTATTGCTGAGTAGAATTCCGTTGGTTAGATGTAGCATCATTCAAAAATTCTGTTTATCTGTTGACAGACATTTGGGTTGTTTCCAGTTTTGGACTGTTACAGATAAAACTGCCATGGACATTTCTTTTTTTTTTGAGTTGGAGTCTCACTCTGTTGCCCAGACTGGAGTGCAGTGGCTGCTCCCGGCCACCGCAGCCTCGACCTGCTGGGCTCCGGCGATCCTTCCGCCTCAGCCTTCCGAGTAGCTGGAACTACAGGCGCACGCTACCACACCCGGCTAATTTTTTTGATTTATTGTAGAGATGAGGTCTCGTCAAGTTGCCCAGGTGGGTCTTGAACCCGCGGGCTCAGGCAATGCACTCACCTCAGCCTCCCAAAGTGCTGGGATTACAGGCTGAGCCACCGAGCCCAGCTTGAACATTTCTATACATATCTTTCTGTGGACATATGTTTTCATTTCTCTCGGGTGAATTGTTGACTTATGGAAACATGTGTTTATTGCAAGAAACTGGCAAACTGTTTGCTGTGGTTGGAGCATTTTTACATTCCCAGCAGCAATGTATGAAAGTTCTAATTGTTCCAGATCTTTGCTAACATTTAGAATTGTCAGTCTTTTAAATTTTAGCCATTCAAATGTGTGCACACTAAATTGTCCACTTTTAGTTAGTATTTCTCTATTGACTACTTTTACTGAGGATTTCTTTGTGTGCTTATTGGCTATTCATATCTCATCTTTTATAAAGTGTGTATAAAAATCTGTTTTTCTTCTATTTTTTAAAATTTGAGTTGGAGTCTCACTCTGTTGCCCAGGCTGGAGTGCAGTGGCACACTCATGGCCTGCTGGGATCCAGCGATCCTTCTGCCTCAGTCTTCCAAGTAGCGGGAACTACAGGTGTGCGCTACCACACACAGCTAATTTTTTACTTACAGTAGAGAGGAGGTCTTGCCAAGTTGCCCGGGCTGGTCTTGAACCTGCAGGATCAGGCAATCCACTGGCCTCAGCCTCCCAAAGTGCTGGGATTACATTCTGAGCCACCTTTTCTTCTTTTCTTAGTCAGAGTCTCTATCTTTTGCCCATTTTTGAATAGGGTTGTCCTTCTTCTTACTAAGAGTTCACTGTATTCTGAGTACAAGTCCAAGAGTTCACCGTATTCTGAGTACAAGTCCCTTTTCAGATATGTGTTTTGTATATTTGTTCTTGGAGTTTAGAGTTTGACTTTTTGTTTTCTTAACAATGTTTTCAAGGAGTAGAATTTTTTAATTCGATGAAGCCCAGTTTATTTTCTTCTCTTACGATTCATGTCTTTTGTGTCCTGATTAAGGACTGTCTGCTACTTCAAGGTTGCGGAGATTGTTCCCTATGAAGAAATTCTCAATTCTAATTTTGGTTTTTACATTAAAGTTTATGATCATTTTGATTTAATTTTTGTGTATGGTATTGGATAAGAATAGAGAGTCATTTTTTTCCAAATGGATATCTAGTTGTTCCCACATTATTTGTTGAAAATACCTGTTGAATCACCCAGCTGCCTTTGTTAACAATCAATCAATCATGTGTGCCTGGGCCTGAAATTTTGGGCTGTATTCTGTTCCATTCATTTACATTGCCTGTCTTTATGCCAGCACCACACTGTTTTGGCTTTGTAGTTCTTGAAACCAAGTAATCTGAAGTCCTCAGATTTTATTCTTTTTCAAATTGTTTTGGTTATGTCTAGATCCTTTGCATTTCCATATACATTTTAGAATCAGTTCTCAGTTTGGTATTTCTTTTTTTGAAAGTGGGATTTATTGAGAAGACAGAAGAGCTCCTACAGTGGGAGGGGACCCGAGGAGGTTGCCCCAGTTTAGTATTTCTGTCTTTTATAACAGGTTACTTATAATGTATTTCTCAACTGACCACACTACACTGCTGAGAAACAGAGCTGGGTGGTTGATGGTTCGTTTTAAAATTTAGCAGCAGAGTTGAAAGATCTGGTTTTGAATTGTGATGCTGCCACGTGCTGTGAATGTGACTTGGGATCAGTTGCTTTCAGTCTCTGATCCTTTGTTTCCTCATCTATAAGTGGGAATAGAGATGCCTGTTGCCTATGATTACTGTGAGGGTGACCAAAGAGAAGGTTTGTAAAATTATCTGCACAGAGGCTATTGCATCTGAGGCTCAGTTGGTGAGAGCTGTTATTCCCTGTTGTTGTTATTATCAGTGCATTCTTGGGGATAGAATGGCATAGATTGAGCCCAAGCATGTGTTTCATGAGAGACAGCCTATTGACCATATGTAGACATTATACAATCTCAAACAAAAAGACAAGTTAACTTTATCCCCCCCAGCAATCTGTAACGTGCCATTCTGTTGCATTAATCAAACTTAATTTTTGGTGTAAACAAAAATTTTGCTTTTCCGCCAGAATCTTGAGCTCAATGATGATACTGTTCTAGATGAGATCAAGTTAGCTGATTGCGAGCAGTTCCAGATGCCTGACCTATGTGCTGAAGAACTTGCTGTCATCCTTGGGGTCTGGTAAGTTAATGACTGACTTGGCTATTTTGAACGCCCTGCTCGTTGGTTCTCTTGTGTTTGGGGAATCATTATTCAAGGAGGTCCCAAGAGTTCTGGATGAATCAGGAATTTTGGAGTGATTGGGAAATTAAGAGGGAATACGTGGGAAGCTAATTAAAGGGTTGGAGGTGAGGACACTCCTGTGGGTTAGTATGCTATTCTTCTTTCTTGATAAGCAGAATTTCTTAGGTTATCCTTAGCCAGAAATAGATTCTTTTTTTAAATAAAGATGTGGAATTCAGGGTTAGAAATACAAACGTTGATTATGCAGGTACCCTTGTGGATGAGGTGTGCCCCTCCTCCCCAACAGTTTCCCTCAATTGCCAATCCCACCCCCCCTCCCCTGACAGTTTCCCACTATTGCCAATCCCTTTCCCACAGCATTATCATTTTTTTGAGTCAGAGTCTCACTCTGTCGCCTAGGCTGGAGTGCAGTGGCATGCTCACGGCCACTGCAGCCTCCACATGGCTGGGTTCAGGTGATCCTTCCATCTCAGCTTTCCTAGTATCTGGAACCACAGGCATGTGCCACCATGCCTGGCTAATTTTTTGATGTATTATAGAGATGATAAGTTGCCAAGTTGCTCAGGCTGGTCTTGAGCCCCTGCACTCAGGCAATCCCCTCCCAAAGTGCTGGGATTACAGGCATGAGCCACTGTACCCGGCCACCAGGGAATAGATCCTTAATACAACAGTAAAGATAGGCAAGAATGACTGTTTTGATCCATGAAGATATTTGCATTTCAAATCATAGAATTAAAAAAAATTTTTAATTTAATTTTTTTTTTTTGAGTCGGAGTCTCACTGTTGCCCAGGCTGGAGTGCAGTGGCATGCTCATGGCCACCGCAGCCTCAACCTGCTGAGCTCAGGCAATCCTTGAGCTTCAGCCTTCCAAGTAGCTGGGACTATAGGCATGAGCCACCATGCCCAGCAGAATTTTTTTTAAATACTATGTATGGAACCTTGTACATGGTATGTTGTGGCACTAGTTTTTTTTACATTTTTTTCCTCTGGGAAGTTGAGAGAACTTTTGTTGTTATTGTTGTTGTTTGTTTTGTTTTTGAGATTGGGAGTCTCACTCTGTCGCCCAGACTGGAGTGCAGTGGCACACTCACAGCCACCCCAGCATCTACCTGTTAGGTTCTGGCGATCCTTCTGCCTCACTCTTCCAAGTAGTTGGAACTACAGGTATGCGCTACCATGCCCGGCTAATTTTTGATTTATTGTAGAGATGAGGTCTCACCAAGATGCTTGGGCTGGTCTCGAACCCACAGGCTCAGGCAATCCTCTCTTCTCGGCCTCCCAAAGTGCTGGAAATGATAGACTTGAGTCACCGCGCCTGGCCTTGATTTTTTTTTAATTGTTGGATTCACCGTATGCATTTTTAGCAGCGATATCAGAGAAGTGCAGTCTTGTCATTCTCACTGATCTTAGTAGGTTGAGCATGAATTTTATTTGTCACACTTCTGGTGATGTTAAGGTGGTATTTGCTAAACTTCTCTAGGGCAAGGGTTTCTTTTAGTGTTTGTAACTAATATTTTGTAGGAAAGCACTTTCAGACTATATAAATATCCCATTTGACATCTAGAGATTTAGTTATATTCAAAAGAGAATCTGTCACAAAGTTACAATATGGATACTAGTTAAATTGTAATAGGCAATTTAGGAAAGGGAGCATTTGAAGAAACTTATTCTTTTTTTTTTTTTTTGAGTTGGAGTCTCACTCTGTTGCCCAGACTGGAGTGCAGTGGCCACTCCTGGCCACCCCATCCTCGACCTGCTGGGCTCCGGTGATCCTTCTGCCTCAGCCTTTCAAGTAGCCAGAATTACAGGCATGCGCTACCATGCCCGGATGATTTTTTGATTTATTGTAGAGATGAGGTCTCGCTTCCCAGGTGGTGAAACTTGTTCTTTTAACTCAGCAGAACTTGTCCTGCAATGTTCATCTCCTACACACCAGCAGTAGGTTTTCATTTATATAAATATTGAATTCATTCTCTGGTCCCCATTTATTTGTTTAAAAGAGATCACGCATACAGAGTTCTGCTTTTAAATCCAAAGCAATTCTCCTATAACATTACATTATCACAGTGACAGAATTTATGTTTACTATAGAAAAATTGCTTGTTCAATTTGTCACAATACCTAGTTATCAATAATATGAATAGTAACCACTCACGAGCAATATGGTGTGACAGGCATTTTACTATGCACTTTCATATTAACCCTCATTAACATGCTAACAACCCTTGGCCTTGTTGTTTTTCTCAACTTTTCAAATGGGAAGCCAGGGTTCAAATGACAAAGTACCTTGTTTAGAATTATAAAGCAGCAATTAGGATTTGTATCCAGGTTTTACTGACCACAAATTCTGAGTACTTTTTTATGCTATTTTAAGAAATGTTATTTTGGCAAATTCATAATTGTCACCTCATCAGAAAATTAAACTATGCCAAATAAATGTATTCCCAGGCATTCTGTCAACTGAACTTTAGTTCTGTTGAGTTGAACTTCACAGTTGACAGGGGACTAAAAACCAAGGAAATACTTGTCTTCCAATACTCTTTTTTCCCCAAATAAGATCTTGGTGGAATTTCAGCAGATAGAACAGATAAGAGTGCTGAGTGGATTTCGTAGGCAGTTGATTTATTTATTTATTTTTTAAATTTTTAAATTTTTTTGAGTTGGAGTCTCACTCTGTCACCCAGACTGGAGTGCAGTGGCCGCTCCGGCCACCGCAGCCTCGACCTGCTGGACTCTGGCGATCCTTCCGCCTCAGCCTTCCGAGTAGCTGGAATTACAGGCATGCGCTACCACGCCCGGCTGATTTTTTGATTTATTGTAGAGATGAGGTCTCGCTGCCCAGGTGGGTCTCGAACCCGTGGGCTCAGGCAATCCACTCACCTCAGCCTCCCAAAGGCGCGGGATTACAGGCTGAGCCACCGAGCCGGCTCGTAGGCAGTTTAAATCTTCATTGTTTGGTAGAAACCACTTGGTTATTTTCTGAATCTTAGAGCATTGGATGCAGTTATAAACCTCTGGGGTCAGGACATCATTGAAGTTTGATTTGCATGAGCTGAGTTTCTGCGGGGCTTTTCCACAGTGGTTTTTTTAAACTGCCTGTTCTCTGTCCCATCCCCCTGGGCACTAACCCCATGAAGAGGTGACTTGGACGTTGCGGTAGGCTGGAATGATTTGGAAAGGAGATTTGACAATTCTTGCAGTCTGTAGACGAATGCAACTGTGGGGCCTCTGGCCTCCTGTCGGAGTCTGATTTGTACTTGAAGACCAAACGTTGCAACTTGCCCCTTGTCTCTTATACCTCGGTGTACCTGGCTGCTTCCCTGTAAAGTCATCATGGGAGACATTTATTAAAATATGGCAACTTGAGTAATTCAATGACGAGGTGGGGAAGGGTAATTCCCTTTTAAATTAACAGTCTGATTTTCAGGTGTGCGTGATCATACAGTTGGCCCTCTGTATTTGCATGTTCTTTTTCCATGGATTCAACCAGCTGTAGGTCAAATATGTTGAGAAAACCCCAATAAAAATAACAATGTAGAGGAATGAGCATGATGCCTCATGCCTGTAATCTCAGCACTTTGGAAGCTAAGATGGGAGGATTGCTTGATGCCAGGAGTTCAAGACCAGTCTAGGCAACATAGCGAGACCTCATCTCTACAACAAATTAAAAAATTAGCTGAATGTCGTGTCATGTTCCTGTAGTCCCAGCTACTCGGGAGACTGAGGCAGAAGGACTGCCTGAGCCCAGGAGGTGGAGGCTGTGGTGAGCAGTGATTGTGTCACTGCACTCCAGCCTGGATGACAGAGTGAGACTCCGACTCAAATATTAATAATAATGACAGCAACAATAGTACAACAATGAAACATGCAAATAAAATAATACAGTATAACAACTGTGTGTAGTACTATGGTGTGTGTGGTTTTTTGTTTGTTTGGTTTTTTTGAGTTGGAGTCTCACTCTTGCCCAGGCTGGAGTGCAGTGACGCACTCACAGCCACTGCAGAGTTGATCTGCTGGGCTCCAGTGATCCTTCTGCATCAGCCTTCCAAGCAGCCAGAACTAGAGGCGTGTGCCACCACGCCTGACTAATTTTTTTATTTATCGTAGAGACAAGGTCTCACCAAGTGGCCCAGGCTGGTCTCAAACCCGCGGGCTCAGGCAGTCCACTCGCCTCGGCCTCCCAAAGCTCTGGGATGACAGGCTGAGCCCGGCCTGTGTTTTATTTTATTTTATTTTATTTATTTTATTTTTTTTGAGTTGGAGTCTCACTCTGTCGCCCAGACTGGAGTGCAGTGGCCACTCCCGGCCACCGCAGCCTCCACCTGCTGCGCTCTGGCGATCCTTCTGCCTCAGCCTTCCGAGTAGCCGGAATTACAGGTGCGCGCTACCACGCCCAGCTAATTTTTTATTTATTGTAGAGATGAGGTCTCACCAAGTTGCCCAGGCGGGTCTCGAACCCGCGGGCTCAGGCAATCCACTCACCTCAGCCTCCCAAGGTGCCGGATTACAGGCTGAGCCACTGAGCCTGGCTCCGGCCTGTGTTTTAAATGAAATTATTTCATGCTTCTTTCCTCCATTTTTTTTCTTAACAACGATAGATTTATTTAAAATTATAAACATTTGATGCTTGTTATAAAATTATTTTAACAGTATTGGAAATTACAAGGAAGTATTACTATTTGGGGTATTTTATTTTCATCCTCAATATATGCACTATTTATATACAAAGAGTTCATATAACAAGTGTAACAACCAAATGAACATGGGTGATCCCCACCCAGTGTAAAACTGTGAGGTTACCAGCTTCATTAGCTGATATGTATGCCTCCTCAACTCACCCACCTGCTCCTCACAAGATTGCTGCTGCCCGGAGTTTTGTTTATTATTTTCTTGCCTTTTAAAAAATGTATTTCATATCATGTTTTGTATATCTGTAAGTAAGTTGCTTCATTTTGCTTGTTTTTGAGCCTAATAAAAGTGGTGTCGGCTGGACTCGGTGGCTCAGCCTGTAATCCCAGCGCTTTGGGAGGCCGAGGTGAGTGGATTGCTTGAGCCCGTGGGTTTGAGACCCACCTGGGCAACTTGGCGAGACCTCATCTCTACAATAAATCAAAAAATCAGCCAGGTGTGGTAGTGCATGCCTGTAATTCCGGCTACTCGGAAGGCTGAGGTGGAAGGATCGCCGGAGCCCAGCAGGTCGAGGCTGCAGTGGCCGGGA